AATTTCAAATTCTTTTATTTTACCATTTTAGGTTTGACCCAAAAAGACCACATGACGCCTGCATTACTTTTTCATAGTACTAACAATTCTGGAGATATTCTATATAAGTGTCGAAAATGGGACACCCTGTGCAGCGTTTCGACCTAGGTCGAAAGCACAGGCGGCTGCTTTCTATCAAGATGGTGTTTGGTATCACGCTATGACAAACGTCTAAGGGCCGGTTTTACAATTACACCTATTCGCAGAATAAGATATTCTTGGAATACTTGCCATAGTAACAAGTATCCCATTGGTTGACGCAATGGTAACCAACGCAACCGTCGACGTTTATTCGAGGTATAGCTTATTCTCAGTATATCCCTACATTGTAGAATTGGCCCTAAATCTAATGTAAATGAGGTACCCATTACCCGTACGTAATGGAAAAAAAATTGGAATAAATTATGTACGTTTGGAAGTGATAATTATCTACAAATGCCAAAACTGTCAACAGACGTCATTTTGTGTTTTGCCTTATTTTCATTTCGAAATTCACAGAGGTCGTAAGGTTCAGTTGTAATTTGCGTATTACAAGTTCGTAGAATTACCGCACGATGCTGCATAGGCACCTGTAACACGCACTATTACAACTTTATGACGTAATATACTATTCCAGCAATTTTAATATGTAAACACACACATTGCAAATGGGTTGCCTAAAAAAATTAAGTCGAGACTACCCTTAATTAAAATTTCTGTCTGCTTTTATAACATGGAGATGATGCGCACGCTCTTACATTCGACACGTACACCACAAGCAGCTATGCTCTTCTTTTCAGTTAAGATGGTGACAACTGTAGTGTTCCGTGTGAAAGAGGACAACCCATTTGCAATGTGTTTGTTTACAAATTAAGATTGATAAAAAATGTATTTCACTCTGAAACAGACTGTCAGTGGGCTCCAAAATGGCAGACGAATCTGCTACGTTAATCAAGTACTGTAGAATTGGCGGTTGCGTTCGATCGAGGTTATCGCTTTTTAATACCCGCAAGTTGGAAGTGACAGAAAATTGATGTCATTAAGATATGTCGAGTCGCTTGATGTTTGTCACATGTCACTCGTACACCTAACCTGAAAATCAATGAAGGTTGACACTTCAATGTTGCAGGTCCCAATTTTACGTCGGAATAATTTCATCTTTGCCTTTGGTATAAAGATAGAGAGAGAAAACCGACGTCGGACATTTAAACTGAATGCACACCAGGAAAGTCAAATAACAAAATTAATCAATATGTGACGTACCTTAATTCTAACGAAACGTAAAACAGATGCCAGATCACTATAAAATTTTCAATACTACCAACCAAAAAAATGACCCCTAAACGTCACATGCGTCAAGGCCACCTAATGATCATCCCACTCTCGTACTTTTAATAGGTGCCCATTGCCCTCCACCTGTTTTAACACCAAAACTACAAAAATCCGTGTACATGGGATCTGAATCTTATAGAAGTTTGTCGGGCCTTTTTAACTTTGGAGGTCTGCAATTTTCTGGAAGTGTTCGGGGAGTTAAAAGTGTGGTTAAATATGGCATAGCAAATTAATAAATATAATTGAATATCTCTAAAGGGCTTGAAGTAGGCGGAACACTTTTTCTACAAAGTTTGCCCTTATTTGTGCTTATTAAGAAAATTACTGAATGAATTGTAAATGACTACAATGTACAGGGTGTTCTATTTAAACAAATTAATTTAAGCGTCATACCTCGTACTTGAGTACCTATATCAAATTTGTGATAATAATAATAATAGTTTAATGTCCAACAGACTTACATCCAATTACAGGACACAAAAATAACTATCGTGCAGTGTGGTAAATTATATAAGAAAAAAAAACAATTTATGTTAGAAAACAAAACAAAATGATAATTAAAATAAAGGTAGGTACTCCTAGAGACGTTATCATGCTATTATGATTAATATGACATTCGCATTTTTGGAAGAGCTAAAAGATGACAGAAAAATATACAGGATGTTCCATTTAAAAAAAGTCAGATTTTCTAATATGAAGTTTTGAACTTTGGACCAACCAAAAAAACACCCTGTAAGCTATTTTTTTAATGTTAGATGTATTTATTTGACTTTTACTTAACCCAGGATAAAATATATAAAACCTGGAATCAAAATTTAAGTAATAATTTTGACAATATACTCGTACTGGCGCTTGCAAATGCCCAATTTTTCTTAAAAATCAAATTATCTTTAAAACAACTAGTTTTCGGATATTAATATAATAAAAAAAGACGTACAATTACACGTAGAATTCAAAAATGCATTCAAATACAGGGGGTTCTATTTAAAAAAATGTACCATTTTGGCGCCCTACTTTTTGGGCTCGCCCTGTATAATTCCAAATATTTTTAAAATGTGGAGAATATTCAACCATATCATAATACAGAAGCACTCCACCGAAAAATCTTAACTTCAAGTTATTCCACGCAATTGTTGACTCACCCTGTATGTTCTGGGCCAGGAAGTGACGTCACACCAATCAAGACAAGCTCGGGACTTCAGAGACGAGCACGGCATCCTTCGGTCCTCCCTTTCGGGTTCGTAAAGCTGACCAACAACTTTTTCGACTGGTTCAACAGGTTCGTGAAGCAGTCCAGCAGATTTTTCAATCGGCTCATCTGCTTTTCCCCATGGTTCAACAGCTATTTGGCCTGCCTGGTAGTGGTTCCCAAACAAGTTGAACCGTTTCATGGACCAGTTGAAAATGCTGTTAGACCGTTTCATGAACCTGAGAGGAGGTGTGCTCGTCTCTAATTAGTGTGCCGTCACTTCCTGGCCCAGAACATACATTGGTTCTTCTACGCCACATGGCGGATCCTAGATGGCGCTTCAGTGTAAATAAAAAAATTTGAGAAACGGGATTCGTTCCATTTTTACGAGTTTTTCAACATATGTGACTAGCACTATGCTCCATACCCAGCTATTATTACCCCAAAGATGAACTCCAAGCACCGAATTTTGGAGGCGAAGTAGGCTCCACAAGCAAGAAAACGTCCAATTGTATGAAAGGCATTGAGAATTTCTATTATTTGAAGTTTTGTTAGTTTCACATATTACCGCTTGAGGGCTTTTTTCGACATTCCGACAGAAATCGTTAATTTTCTCAAAAAAATTAAATGCATTGGTTCGATTTTTTTTTCATGAAAAAGTAGCTAAATGATGCCTAAACAAGCTCGCGAAAACAGCATCTTGAGATATTGACATTGATAGATATAATATCGTGATGGTCAGCATTTCGAGCATTTACGGCGGCATTAAAAACTTCTTTTTTTAAATCGATCCACCTTAGGGCCACAAATTATATTAAAAAAATAATTCCGCAAAAATTAACTTAAAAAAATAAAATTTTGAGGGTATAAAATTTTCTTTGGCCTAAATTTTAAATTAGGATCAAGATATTGAGATGCGGTTTTCGCGAGCTTGTTTAGGCATCATTTAGCTACTTTTTCATTGAAAAAAAATCAAACCAACGCATTTAATTTTTTTGAGAAAATTAACCATTTCTGTCGGAACGTCGAAAAAAGCCCTCAAGCGGCGATATGTAAAACTAACACAACTTCAAATTATATAATAATTGTAGCCGAAGCTCTTTTCAATTAACCCAAGTTTGTTAAAATCGGCTCAGCCGTTTCGAAGATACAGGGTGTTCTTTACGGAAACCTTTGAATACCTCCCACCATTTCATTTTTAGAGATACAGGAAAAATTGTCAAACAAAAAAAGGTTCAGATTATCGTCGACTTCAAAGACCGGACATTTTTTTGTTAGGTTAATATAACGGAATTCACAGAAACATACCTTTTGTAGATTCCAGATTGCAGTTACGCCCCATAGCGGCCATTTCAGAAACTTAAAAATATTTTCCAGGTTTTTCTCGTGTCCGTTTTAGTAATAACCTTTTTTACCGCAAGCCTCTATGATGGACAGGTTCCCAGACAGTACCTCGCATTCTTATTTGGCCACCCTGTATGTGCGGACTGTTTCAGGTGGGCTAAAAATTCGTCACTTACCTAGCTAAGATTCTTGTTTTGTATCGAAATGTTCATTTTTCAAGGGGTACTGCCTATACAACCTCACTCGATCTGCGATACCCTGTATATAAATTTTTCAAATACTTTAAGATTTCTACTTTTGGAATGGGAGGATACCAAAGACACAAACTGTCAATTTTTGAGTTTTTCCAACAAATATTTAAACCAAATTTTGGTATTGAGAGCTGCCAGAAATAAAATGTAAAGAAAAACCAATTACGAGAATTTTAAGAGTTATATAGATAAATTGGGGTTGCAGTGGACATTTGAAACTGGGGAGGTGAGCTGCGATTAAAAACCATTCATACAATTATTTAAAAAAAAAAAAATGGCGCACAGTCGCCATCTTGGATTAGAACTGTCAAGTTTATATGGAGCGTAGTACTTTATACCAGTGTTTTTTGTGAAATTTTCAGCTGAACATTTAACTTAAAGGGTGTTCCGTTCAAAACTATACGGCATAAACGTACGAGTATTTATTCGCTTGTAATACAAACATGGCCGTGTCATCACGTATAATTTCGCGCCATGCATTGCGTTACCCTTAAATCCAAAAACCGACTCGAGCGAGCTAACGGCCCGAAGACTCGTCGGGAGGAAACCAAAAATCCTTCGAAAATACTTAATTAATAATTGTAGAAAAGTGTTGTAGGTTATCGAGTGATAAAAAAAATATATAGGACGAGATCAGGTAACCTTCGAAAAAATGGTGGTTTCAGTTTAAAGTTAAAATAAAGGCTAAAGTTATGCTTAAAGAAAAAAAAAACTTTAACTTTGTAATTTCGCTTAAACTTTGACCACCATTTTAAACTTAAAGCAGTCGATGGCAATTTTAAAGTTTTTTTTTTGCGATGTAAGCAAGACTACTCGGAGATGGGTCGGTCGATCTGCCGTCTGCAATAATCTTTATTTTTGTATAGGACGCTTACGCCAGTTATTTTGGATAACAATTACATACAACTTAAAAATCAAGTAATTAAAGCCGAACGGAGAGTTTTAAAGGAGTTGGGGTTTTGCGTCCACATCAAGCATCCGCATAAGGTACAGCGGTCCCGCGAGTATTTCGCGAGCTGATCGAATTTGCTTGCAGATCATTGTGATGTACCTTCAGGTGTTGGGCTACGAGAAGCATCAGCAGCTGATGCAATATTCCTGGAATTACATGAACGACTCCCTTAGGACGGACGTTTTCGTTCGCTACCAGCCGGAAACGGTCGCGTGCGCCTGCATTTACCTAACCGCTCGTAAACTTAAGCTACCTCTGCCCAAAAATCCCGCCTGGTTTTCGCTGTTTGGCGTCACCGAGCAAGAAATACGAGATGTCAGCCTGCGAATTTTGAGACTATACGCAAGATCAAAAGTAAGCATCAATTATGCGAGAATTTTCCATCACTAGGCAATGTTTCAGATTAACGTCGACACATTGGAGAAGAAAATCGAGGAGTTGTGTAAAAAGTATCAGGACGCCAAGATAAAGTTGAGGGGGAACTCGGGTAACAACACGCCAAATAATAACAGTCCGTCTAGTCCGAGCGCGCAAAAATCGTCGGGGGCGCACAACGCCTGGGGCGGTTTTATCAGCCGATCGGGCAGTCACATCGTGCCGGCCGCCGAAAAGCGCTCGCGATCCAAGTCGCCTAGTCACTCGCCCGTCAGTAAACACCACAAACGATCGAAGAAGCACGCGCGATCGAGAAGTCGGACGCCGAGCAGAAATCACAAGAAAGGTCACAAGCGAAGGTCGAGCTATTCGAGGTCGCGCAGTAACTCGCCACACAATAAAGTTGCAAGGAAGACTAGGTAGGTATGGGGAATTGAAGGCATCATTGTTAATAAAATATACCTGTCTTGTTTCTTCTAATTTTTTGAAATATTCAAAAACTTTGATTCGTTTGAATTTCCATGATTTTAAAGATTTTTACAATTTGGATATTTTCGTTAGGTACCAAAAATTCAAAAAAGAATAGCAATTCTTACATTTTTTCAAAATTAAAAATTGCCTTATTCTTAGAGTTTTAAAATATTGAAAGAAAATATTAGATAAAATCAATTTCTTGAATCTTGAAAACTGTATTATCGTCAGGACAGACGAACAGAGAATAGTTTTCTTATAATATTGCTTTCACAAAAATGCAAGTTTCAAAGAATTAAAATTTTGGGCCCAAAAATACAAAAAATAAATTTTCGAAATTTTGAAAATGTGAAATTTAATAAATTTTTGAATCTTTTTGGATTTAAGTTTCCAATTCTAATTTTGACTGGTCAATTTCAAGATCCAGATTAATAACTACATTTACATTTTTTGATCCAAAAAGACAAAATGTTGAGGTTTAAAGATTTTTGGAATTTTTGTTTTTAACATTCTGGAGAATTTCTAACAGTGTAAATAAATATTTTTTTTAATTTCAAAAACATTCGGAATTTCATTTTTTTTTTTCATTTCGAATACAAAAAGGTACATATAATGCGCACAAGAGTTTTACTAGAGGTTCAAAATATTTCTAAAAATCGATCTCAGGTTTTTTTGCAAGTGTAACATAAACATTTTTTCAGCATTTTTGGAATTCTAAAATTACATTGAAATTGTATCGTAATATCCAAAAAATCTGATTAAGTTTAGTTTTTTTGTTCCAAAATTAATTACAATTTCTGTAATCAAGATCATTAATTTTTTGGACTTTTTTAAATTTTGATTACACAAACGCTAACATCCGATTCGCGCAAGAATTTTACCAGAATATTCAAATATTCCCAAAAAGACAGTCGCTTCAAATTGTTTACCTATACTTTTAAGACAATAACCCAGTTTTGTATTCTGACTTTACACGAAAACTGTACTGTACCAACAGAGAATTCAAAAAATCTTATTCGTTTGAATTTTACATATTTTTTTTTAATTTTGAAACAATCTTTTCTCCAATTTGGGAATTTTGAAATTACGTAACATCACAAATTTAAAAAAATATTCAGAATATTTAATTTGTTTGATTCCAAAAATAATTATAAATTCCAATAATTAAGAGCATTAATTTTTTGGTTGGAATTTTATAAATTTTTAAAAAATTGTGGATACTATAGTATTACGAACAGGGAAAACATTTTTTCCCAATTTTCAAATTCGGAAATTGTATCGTAACAACAAAAAATTTAAACTATCCGGTTCGGAATTTTATGTGTTTTATTTCAAAAATAATCAATTCCAATATAATTAAGATCATTATTTTTTTTAATTTTATACATTTTTTTTAATTTTGAATATTGTGGTGTTTTTATATTCTTGATTTTCTTCGTCTTTTTTTTTATACTTTTTCTTTTGTTTTTTTTCTGTTCTCTCAACTCCATCTCATTTTTTCCCTCCCCTGCCCCCTCCACCTGTTCTTTCTCGCATCATTGTTTTGTATCTGATTTTCTCTTCTTACACTCTCTGTTCTACCACTTCTATTATCCCTCTCTTCCTCTTTATTTACCTGTTGCCACGCCATTGCCTTTTCAATAATCGTCATATTTTAGTTCACATGTGAAATTGAATCTTGCTTCTGGCTATGTCTGTAAATTAATTGTGAAATTATAACACCCTGTAGATCGGTAACGAAATTTTTGCAAACCTATCTTAATATTGACAATTAATGTGCACATGCGCAATGTCAACTTCTTATTTATAGAGATGTTTTTTTTAAATTTTAGCCACAGATGTTTCTAAATTCTAGTAAAGACAAGCATATTGTAACAAGTACAAATTGTGCACAACCCTTGTACAGGTAAAGCGCATTTTTTTTTAAACACCCCTACGAAATTTCTTCCATAAATAAGAAAGTTGGCACTGCACATCCTACACAAAACCAAATTTGGAAAATGGCGCTACATTTGCTTTTCTTCCAAGTGGCTATGTATCAAATTTCATTAAAATCCCTCCATAAATAAGAAAGTTGGCACTGCGCATGCGCAAAACGAAATTTTGAAACTGGCGTTAAATTTTCCTTTATTCCAAGTGGCTATGTATCAAATTTTATTTAAATGCCTCCATAAATAAGAAAGTTGGCACTGCGCATGCGCAAAACCAAATTTGGAAAATGGCGCGTACTTTCCTTTGACAATTCACTCTTAAGATATAAGGAATTATAACCGATCACGATAAGGGATCGAGGAGGAAGACTATGGTTAGTATACATTTCTGTCGTTGAGACCTTTCATTAGAGTACCATGAAGGATAAAACTAGTTGCACTCCCCCCCTTCTCCTTCCACCCCGTACTTTGGGCAGTAGTTTGTAGAAAACTGTACCTTTCGTTGAGACCTTTAATTAGAATACAATGAGATATAAAATTAATTTTTAACCTCCCCCCCCCCCCTCAGGCGCCATCGCTCACTGACCTCGAAAAAGAGTCCCACGGGAAAGTTATAGTTTGTGCAAAGCAATTTATTCGATGAGACCTTTCATTAGAATACCGTGAAGGGTAGAACATATGCTTACTCCCCCCCCCTTCCCCCCCATTTTCTAAAGTTTAACTTGGCACCACTAAAGGTATGCGTGTGCAAAATCTGAAACCAATTAGTTGTCGTATGTAAAAGTTATGCACGTTTTACTTTCAAAAACAGCATCTCAGGAAATAATTCGAGGGGGGGGGGGCCTTTTAGACAGCGAAATTTGATGGCCGTCTGGCACACCTTCAAGGTATAGGCTACCTACTGCACAAAATTCCAGGACTCTAGGACCATTCCCCTAGCTAGAAGTAGTTCAAAACGGCAGAAGTGGGTCCGAACGGACGGACAAAACGCAAACAATAGCACATTTTTTTTAATTCTTAAAAAGATGCGCTAAAAATCAGACGTGCATATGCGCAAACTGCACAATGCAAACTTTCTTATTTATGCAAATGTTTCTTTGACATTCTGCTAGTAAAGACAAGCACATTGCATATTGTAAAAGTCAAATGTGCGCATGCGCAAACTCCGCAATGTCAACTTTCTTATTATGGAGATATTTCTCTGAAATCTTAACCACAGATGGGTCTATTAAAGACGAGCATATCGCATGCTGTAAAAATCAGACGTGCGCAGTGTGAAATTTATCAGTTATAGATTTTTTTGGAAATTTTAACCATGGATTCTTATATTAAAGGCAAATATGGCTAATTTTTGAAAATTACCAAGGTTTTTGACTTTGTTGTCAAAAGAATATTAAATTCTGTGTGAAATTTTAAAAAACCAGTTTCGAATTAGGGATTTTTTTAATGCACAATTCTGCTGAAATTTCAAAATTTGAAATTGCAACATTTCAAAGGTAGCTGTCAATTTGTTTGAAGTTTAAATTTTTACACTTACTTAACCTTCAAACAGGAATCTATTTCTTTTTTCATTTTGACACCTTAAAAATTACGCCCTTCTAATAACAAATTGTCTTGTCTTGCAGGGATAAACGAAGATCGAGATCCATAAGCAATGACAAAGAGGTAAAGAACGACAGGTACATAGATCGTTATGATAAGCATGAAAAAAACGATCGTTACGAGAAGGACAAGTATAGCAAAGAGGATAGGTATAGCAGCGGTAACAAGGAGGAGCGCGACAGAGATAGATACATCGATAAGGATAGGTACGACGAGAAGGTCGAACGTAAAGATAGGCACGAAAAGAACGATAAGAAGTACGAACGCGAGTACAGGGAGGACAGGTATAAGGAAGATAGGCATTCGAATCGCGACGAAAAGGATAGGTATAAGAAGACGAAACACAGAGAGGAAGATAAAGAGAGGGATCGTTCGAAGGACAAGCGAAGATAATGTAGATAATTCGGGAGGGAGGACGTTTTATAGATCTCGTTCTGAGAAATTTTTTTAATCGCAATTATAATCATCTCGGTGTACAATTTTAATGAGAGAGTTGATGGTTTAATTGTAAGATAATGTATTTTTCCATTTTGTTCATTTTTACGTGTACATATTTGCATAACATAAATAATTCATTTTAAATAAACAATATATTTTAGTATCTATTATTTTTATTATGAACAACTGAAAACAATAAAAGAATGTAATTGGCCTAGTTAGTTTGTTAGGGAATCATCGAATTCTGATGGTACTGTATGTCATTCTTTGCTATATCCATGCGTAAATGATATTTTACCAGATGACCTGTAAAGAACCAATACAAGGGCCTGAAGGCTATGATTTAGCTTTTTGCAGCGAGGCCTTATATCGCTGGCACGTTCCAGTGGTCGACTGCTTGTATTCCCACTGATTTATGATTTACTTTTTATGGATTAATAAGTCATTCGCACAGCCGCCATGTTGCATCGAAAATTCATTATAGTGCACTTAGGCAACACACAATACACGTATGACATGTGTTACGTACATTACAATACATGATTGGAAATCTGGACAACAGAACGATGCAACATGGCCGCCGATTTCAACAATCAATCAAAAATTAGACACTTGTCGTCAGGATACGTAATAAGAAAATATTTATTGGAGTTTTGCAGAAAAATAAAGATAATAAGAGAAATCAATTGATAACGTTGAGGTGGACGGTAATCTTTTTACTAGTAAAGGAACTACAAGGAGAACATAATACATTTCATTGAATAATAAGAGGTGTTGCCATCTGTAGGCAACACCGTAAACTCCTTTGAGTGCATTTCCTGACTAAAATCATGGCATTTCACTGCGCATTTTGCAAACTAATCTTATTATATTTCACATCCAAACAAGTAGCGTTCAATTACGACATAACTCGTACAGCGTACTGGTTTAATTTGTTATCGCGCACGCAGTGTTATAAATCTAATTTTCCTAACGATATTGCATGGATTGTTCTTTGTGATCATAATACAAACGCACTGCAACAACATCATATAGCAAAATGATAATCTGAAACAAATTTACTCCAAGAAACCGGCAACATCTACAGCTATTACGCCAAAAACAAATAGACTGAAACAATATAGACCCATTGGGTGCATCCCGTCTTCATTTTTTATTTCTGATCTACAATAAGTACAATAAAAATAAAATCACCCGTGTGTCCTCAATTTTTATTTGCGAGTAAAATAAACCCAAAATAAATTATTGAAAAGCTGTGTTTTTAGTCCGAATTTGAAACGCTGCAGTCTAAATACGTCACAAACCTACAACCAATCACGTAGAAGTGAGCCGGCAACCTTGTGCGAGGGTCTGACGTTTGTCGGATTTGACGTTTTAAGAGGCATCTAACGTGAAAGTGAACGACAAGTGACAAGTACCTGTGACAGGTGACGCACGTTACAAATGACATTCTCCTGCAATATTGCCAAGTCGTATGCCATGTGAATGGTTCTAGCAGCTCATTGGCCGGGCTTATTACGTCACAGAGCCCGCCACAATTAGCTCGTTTTGAATAAACCCCTAATACCGCACATCATTTTTTTTTCGAATCAGCCACTATCTTTAAATAAACTTTTACTGTCCAAAAAATTGTTTCATGGTTTCAGGTATACGCTTATTAAATTAGAACTACGGAATTCAACTATACTGTAAACCCCTATTCAATGAAAATCTTCAACGTTATTTACTGTTTTACCACCCCGCACCGTTAGTAAGAGAAGTATTGCGTTAGGGGAGCTCCCCCCCCCCATTTTTTTACGGAAATACACGTTTTGAAGCACCAGGAATCCGGAGTCGGTCTGTCTGTACTCTCATTTCCGGCTAAATGACTGAACCGATTGGAACCAAATTTGGTACACAATTCTTAGACAACAAAGGGCAGAATCGCGCATGCGCTGGTGTGCGGGTAGCATCTGTGCTGGCCACAACAAATTTGTTGGTTAGGGTTTATTTCGCACGATCGCGAAATCTCAGTATCCGACGCGACGATTTGTAAGTTGCTTAAGAAGCCTAATTTTGACACAGAATATACAGTACTCTATATATTCTATGGTTTTATCTCGCACGTGACATCACACTAGATACTCAAGAACTTGCCACAACTTCGCTCGATCGACGCATGCACGCATAGGAATTTGACAGTGCGGCCACTAAACCAAACAGAAATTCCCCGCGACTCCCAGACTTTTCCCGCCTTCTACACGGATTAAAAAAATTGTGCAATATTTATGAGACGGTACTCGTAATTAATCCCAAATAAGAGATGGATTGAGCACTGATTTTCTGTATGCCGCAAACAGCAAATACGCTTGGCACCAGATCAATTGTTGCACCTTTTTTGCCATATCAAAGTTTTTGCACATGCTATGATGCAGAGGTTTATACCCTTGAGCTTGAAAGGTCATGGGATTTTACCCAGGAGTTCATAGGTACAGCCACCCATGTATTGATCGGTACTTCCCAAAAGGCCACAGCGATGTGCGCTGTTTTTCCTCACTAGAAGCATCTACGGTTAAAATTTCAAAAAAATGCATCGATAAATAAGAAAGTTGGCATTGGGCAATCTGCGCATGCGCACAGCTTATTTTTACAATATGCGATAAATGAAGCAGACGGGTGGACAGGGAAAGTGACTGCAGTAGCGCACCCAACTTCGTTAAAAATTCGCTGGTTGCGCAGTTCACGCATGCGCATGTTTTATATATGCTATATCACTATATGCGATATGTTGGTTTTTACTACAAGCATCTATGGTTAAAATTTTAAAGAGATGTTCATACGTAAAAAAAGTTAGCATTATGCAGTCTGCGCATGCGCGCATTTGATTTTTACTATGTGCGATGTGTTTGCCTTTGATTCGATTTTTACGACATGTTATATGTTGAAGTTGGCACTGCGCATACACACATCTAATGTTTACAATATGTTTGTCTTTAACAAAACCATCTATGATTAGAGTTTCATCAAAAAGATATCTCGATAAATTAGACAGTTGATATTGCGCATCGTGCGCATGCGCAAGTTAATATTATATTTACACAACATGCGATACGTTTGCTTTTACTAAAGGCATCTATGGTTAAAATTTCAAAGAAATATCTCTATAAATAAGAAAGTTGGCATTGCGTAGTCTGATTTTTACCGTATGCGATATATTGCCCTTTACTAGAAGTATCTGTGGTTAAAATTTCAACAATCGCGCAATTTGGCGAGCGCTCGCCACCCGTCGTACTCCAAATAAAATCACGATTCCCCATCCCCTCGCCAAAAGGCCGTCGCCAAACATCGCGTGCGATCGCCAGCCGTCGTGCAACCAATGAAATTGCGCGCCTCCAATGGTTATATAAGGAAAGGCATTTCGTGGAAGAGATCTAGAGATCAGTCTGAAAAGACCTAGTAGAGCTTTCAAGCCTACACGCATCGTTTTTCAGCGTTTTTTAACCTAAAGATTATATGTAATTAATGCCGCTGAAACGTCCTTTGGAACTTACTGAAACGATCGCCCGTTCCAGCGTGGCTGAGCCTTTTACCACCGTCACCGATCAAAGTAAGCCGTCTGTCGCCCGTTCCAGCTTCCCGCGTGGAAGTTGATTAAGCTCGACACACGACCACATCCATATAAATATTATAGATCCGGCATCAATCTCCCCCGTAAACAGTCCTAATCGAGTTATCGTACTCGCTGTAAATTTAATTTGTGTTTCCTTGTGCATTTTTTGTTATGAAAATATCCGATACCATCAATACCGAACGATCCTCGAGATCTTCACACATGCATCATTTTTACAATACGCCTTAAGGGGTTGATTCTGTCCCAACAGATCAGCATGGCTTGTAAAACGAACTTTTGAATCGGCATTAGTTTACATGCGCAAAACAAATTTTTTGATTCGGCTCTAGTTTTACTTTTATTTGAGGTGCCTACATACAAAATTTCATGCAATTCAGTTCACAACTAACGGAGATTTAAAAAATCAAATTGCGCATGCGCAAAACAAATTTTTTGATCGGTATCAGTTTTCCTTTTATTCGAGGTGCTTACATACAAAATTTCATTTAAATATCTTAACAAATAAAAAAAACCGACTGCGCATGCGCAAACAAATTTTTTGATTCGGCTCTAGTTTTACTTTTATTCGAGGTGCCGACATACACAATTTCCATTAAATATCGTAACAAATAAAAAATTGGGATTGCGCAAATATAAAAGTTATAATGCGCATGCGCAATATTTTTTGCATCTGCATAGTTGCCTGAAGTTTAAGAAATATTTACTAACACAGAAAACCAGACATTCATATGTTCTTTGTAACAAGAGTTATAAGAGAAACCCTTTTTGGAGGTTTAGGCAGTTTTTTGGTGGTAACTTTTTGGCCCGTTAGTCTACGTAGCCAAAAAACAATAGCGACCTTTCATATATCTCGAAGAATATGTGTATCAATTTGCAAAGCGATCGGACGTTTCTACACAAAGTTATCGTGAACACGGACAGACAGACGGACGAACAGACAGACGCATAGACAGGCAGCAATACAAAATTATAAACGATCTCGAGGATCGTTAATAATAAATAGAGCCGAAAACACCGAATAGGCATTAATAAATAAGAAAGATGATATTGCGCAGCTTGCGCACATTAATCGTCAAGATTTTCTTGGCTCAGCGTGCTATCAGAGATATAAGCTACCGAATTTTAAAAAAAACGAACTAAATAAGTTGAAAACGGTGGGAGTAGTTAAGGCATCGGGCGGACGGATAGAGAAAGTATGACTGCCATAGCGCACTAAACTTCGTTGGAAAATGCTCTAAACGTATGAGATTTTCTACAATAATTATAGTCTTCACAATAGACGAATCGTAAAAGTGTAGACGATTTTTAAGAGTACATATTTGGTTACGAAAATGAAATAGAAAAAAAAATTATTTGTAAAAAAAATATAAATGTACAGTTAAATTTGGATAATAATTTGATGGGCTTCCTTTTTTTGAATAAGACCTGCCACTCCTGCTACTTTATCATGGCTGTGGGCTTGATGGTCACAGAACATTTAGTAAAAATGAACACAATTGGTATACCAATTTTTGCCGGACATCCTGTATACGGAGAAGATTCGTCGAGCTGAACGTCGCCACGGGACGTTCCGAGCATGCGATAGATGCCACTGTATCTAAATGGCTGTTCTGACGTCATAAAAACGGGGCCTACAATCGTTATCGCAAGGACACCGGCGATCTCGCGCACCGCACCCAGTGAATATTGCGGATAGTAAAGTGTAGGAAAAAAAAACAAATTTTCGGCGTGAAGAAGGTGCGGGAGTGATCAATTGGGATAATAAGACCTTTTTTTAAGACTTCTCACATGTTTTTAAAGTGTGCAAGAGTGAATTTGTATGGATGTGAACGGATGTATTCGTGATTTAATCATCGGATTTACTAGATAGTAGTCTGGCGCGGATAGGAAGGAGTTTTTCTTTTAGAGAAGGTAACTTTGGCGTTCCGCTTTCACCACGTTCCGCGACTTAGCCCTCCGTTAAATAGTCACTAATTCATCGCGCTTAGAAAAAAGTTGAATGCTAAAAGCAGGTGTAAGAACTGTCATGGCGTCGCTACACTTATTTGTATTTTGCATTTATAACCGCCTTTTTAACGCGATTCCGGCTTTATTCCGCTCGCATCTTAACCGTGCGTCATTAATTACCGTTAAATACTCATTTATTAACCCGCCCGACCTGCCCTAATGAATTCGTAATGCATTTATAAATGTAGGTGTGTCCAATAATTTTCTATTTTTAAATTATTGATGGGAAACCAGCATTCGGGCCGCCCTATTAGTACCAATTTTTTCGCGTACAAATACTTTAATTGACGACGACTTTATTAGTCGCGAGGGTGGGCGAGGGGGGATGGTACCAAGTTAATAATTTCCCGCCGCCAATTAACAGCAACTGTTGCAGGTGGTCGAGATTTTTCGAAAACGGGGCCCCCCGCGACTGACTCATCGCGAACTGTTAGAAAAGTAGGAATTCTCGTGCATTACGCACCGAAACGGGCTTATCTGCCCACTTCCTCTTCCCGATGCGCTTCGGTTTCGTTCTTATCGTCCGATAATGGGACTTACTGATATTATTATTTTGTTTCGGCGACGTTTCGTTATCTGATTGTGTGTACATCTCGTTTGTTTTGCAGGTGTTCGGCGATAGCTAGAGGAGGACAGTATGAACGAATTGGACTCTCTAAGACAAGAAGCGGAAACTCTTAAAAATGCTATTAGAGTAAGTATTCGATGTTCATATTTTAAGTATTTTCAACGGTAAGTATACGTTTATTGTTCATTTCTAAACAATCGATACTGTGTTGTTTTGTTTTTTGGAACGTACACTAGTTGAATGGTAACCAATTGTTGCACCAATTGTTTTCCTCAATACTAGAAGCACATGATTTTTGTACGGGTGTACCTTTCTGTTCCAACATGGCTGTGAATGCTTACCCACAATTGAGAAAGTATCCTCCATATTCGTTTCCCTTGACTTTTGTAACACCCCATGAACCTGCCAAAAGACCAGGGCTCACCACAGATCATTATCTTAAGCCACACTTTATTTTTATACAGGGTGTCCCACAACGAACACTGGCTGTCTCTCAAACTGTATATCTAGAGACAGAGATCTAGAAACACTAAAAATTTGACAGTGTGTAATGTCAACAAGAGGAATGCATTGCAATTTTTTCAAGTTGGTGGCACTTGCTGTAATACCAAGGCCAACTTTTTTATTTTAAATGAAACACCCTATATACTATTTAATTTTTAAATTGTATGTACCTAATATATATCTTTTTGGAATAGATTATACAAAGTTACTCTTATTTTTTGAATTTAGCCACGTCATAAAAATAGTGGGTTTCCATTAAAAAAAAAACTTGCTTCAATTTTTTCCCTCCCTTGATTTACAATCAAACTATCAACCCACTCCACCAAGTGGTAACATACTCTGATCTTCCCACCCCCGCAGGTCGCGTAATGTGTAATTTTATTAATATGTGCTGTGTTCTAAATTGGTTTGAGTTACAAGCTGAAATTTCACTTTTAATTTTTTACCGCCAAATGACGCACTATCAAAAAAGTTCATACCACGAAATTAATGTATATTATCGATTACTATAATAAACTATTTTTATATATTTCGTATTTGAGTGTTATTAGAAGCATCTGCGGTTAAAGAAAATCTGTATTGTTGGTATTTCTAGATTTCTAGAAAAATCACGAACATTGTAGAAGTCAGCATATCACATTTCATAGAATTATCGCCAGTTACTAATCTTTTATCGACTTGATGGCGCCCCAATGTCTCTGGATTTCTAGAACATTCGTTACAGTACCGTGTGTTTGTGTTTTCTAGAAGTGTGTATGGTTAAAATTCAAAGAAATGCCTTCATAAGTAAGAAAGTTAGCATTGCGCATGTGCACATATGATTTTTACTATTTGCAATGTTTGCCTTTACTAGAATCATTTATAGCTCTTTCAAAAAAATATATATCTAGAAGAAAGTTGACATTGCGCAATCTGGGCATGCGCTCATTTGAATTTTACTACCCCTGCGTTAAGTAGTTAGAGAGGTATTGAATTGGGATAAAAATGGCCTCCCATTTTTTTACGGAAATCACGTGTTCAGGCACCAGTAATCCGCATCAAACAAAATCTCGATGATGTCGATTTTTCTGTCTGTACTCATTTCCGGCTGAACCAAATTTGGTACACATTCTTGCACATAAACCATGCGCAGGTGTGCGCGTGGTATTTCGGCTGGTCACTATTTGCGATGTTTGCCTTTACTAGAAGCAAAAATTACCGATTTTTGGGGTTTCAGTTTTTTACTTAACCAGGAAACAAGAAATTTGGGTAGCTGGCACTGCTCAGTGCAATTAATTTCAAACACAATGTAATAAGAAAGTAATATAGAGTGGTTTAGCATGAAACCATAATTAACGCACGTTCTTATTGTGTGTAGCTGGCATCCGCACAAAGTATCCATTTAATTAACAAGTAGGAAATAGAGCAATTAATGTCAAACTTGCAATTTAATAAGCAATTAATATAGAGTGGTTTAGCCTGAAAACCATAGAAGCAATAAATTTAATTAACGCACGTAGAGGTGGCTAATCTCTGGAGTTCCCCCTTACTTCCCCGAGCCCTTGTGTTGATAAGGTTCCCCTCATCACCTTTAACCGAGCTGCGGTCGAGTTCGATTTCTCGAAACCAGTCCCGTATCGACAAATGGAAATTCGACGTTTAACCAGAAAAGCCTGGAATCACGATGGCGACCAAATGTCGTCACCTTACGCCTCAGGAGTCAAACGTATGGGCGAATTCAACATTAAAGAAGCACTCATGTTGATAAAATTTCTTCTATAACGTTTGACGAGTAATTGTCTCGGTAATCGTGGAGGTCCTTTTAAGACCGCATCGCAAATTGAAGGGTATCCTGCTCGTTTCCCAGTGTAGACTGGTGGACAATTAATTTCAAACTTGCAATTTAATAAGCAATTAATATACATGGTGAATCAAATTCGTGGGTCACCATTCGGATCTCCGAAACGGTGAGAGATGCATCGTAGGTTAGGTGAAATTTTTAAAAAATCTTTGAAGTTTTCTCGTCTTTCGTTTTCATTTTCCCTAGCTGTAACGGTCGGAAATGGACGGTTCTCGTTAGCACCTTTTATGGGCACATTTTTTTTTGGAGAATCTGAATCTGTTAGAGAGAGAGTATCCATAGCATGCTAGATGTAGAAACTACAGCCTACTACTTTCTTAGTTGTTATGGGCGCCAAATTGAATGTATTACTGGATCTAGTTACCCATGGATGTTTTGTTGAGAAATGAATGTAAATTTTTTTTGTAAATTTGTGAACGTCATTATTTTTTTGTCCTCTCTTATTCCGTAAAAATCCAAAATGGCGCCCTTAAGAAAAAAGAAAGTAGTAGTGTGTAGCTTCTACATCTAATTGATATGGAAGTTCTGATAAAAGCAAAAAGATGCAAATTCATAGCGCGTTTTCCTATTTATCCAAACGCCCATTTCGGGTAGGGAGTGACTGAAATTTCCATTTCGTACCCGTATACCTTCGATACGTCCAACTAAATTAAGCGGTTTTTAATTACTTCTTTCCACGTTATCGGAAAAATATGGGACCGATGTCAGACTTCAAATTTTTTAAGAGCACTTCTTTTGATGCCCAGCTCAATTGGACGGGTTCTTCTGCAACTCATTTAAGTGTCAATGATGATTATACTTATCCAATTAGTCGGAATGAAATCTCCAAATTCGGTATTCCAATTACCATCCCTTGTTAATTGGAAAACGCAGGCCAATCGGCGAGTTCATCGATACCACCTGGTACCTTCGAAAGCTTTTCTTTTTTTTTTCTTGCCGTTCCAATGCTAAATTTACCATAGAAAACAAGTTTTTAAAATTTATGTAATATACAATAATATGTGTACCAAATTTGGTTCCAACCGGTTCAGACCTTTAGCCGGAAATGAGAGTACAGACAGACAGACAGACCAACCGACATAATCGACGTTTTGTTTGATTCGGATTCCTGGTGCTCTAAAACGTGCATTTCCGTCAAAAAAGTGAGAGGTCATTTTTTACCCCAATACAGTACCTCCCTTACTCACTTGCGGGTGGTAAAAATGTCGTCTACAGAACAATTCTCACGCACCCCTAATGCCTGCTAAACATTTTCAATCGCCGACTTCTCGTCTGACGGGGTGAAATCTACCCCCAAGGCCCAAAGTATAAAAAATCCATATGCACGGCACTAAAAACTCGACCTTGCACCAAAATCTAAAGCCATCACCAAGATCACGATCTTGCTTTATGGACCAAGACCACGATCTTGTAACGTCACAAAAGGTGTTGGGGTGAGGTTATCCTCTGCCCTTCTCTTTAGGTCGTCAACCAATTTTCTTCTTCTTTCTCCTCGAACATTTATCCCTCGATGAACTTAAAACGGAAATTCGTTTACTTTCTGGTGTTAAACCTTACTCAAATAAACAAAGAAGTTTTTTTCGGATCGCTAACAGTAACGGCTGGTTAAACGCGAGTTGACTGAGGTCATTGGACAGCGCCTTGTGCAATAAATAAAATTATGTATAGAACGGCATAGGGCAGAGAGTTTAAAGACAATTAATCGGTGCATTTTGCCTGCCACAAAACCTTGTTAATAAATTAGTGAAAATTAATATCAACACAGCGGAACATTGGCTTATTATTCCTGTGCATAATCACGATCTTGAGTATTACTTTCGCGAAATTGAAGCCGGTTGGCTTGGAAGCAATCTGTTTTCATATTTCCAAAGGAAGCGATGTTTTCTAACGAGATAACTAAGTTAGTTTTTTATTTGTATAAAGTAGTGGTGGGTTATTTTTAGGAATGTGCGTGCATAAGGAATATTGTTTGGCATAATTTTAATATTCCTAAAGAAATCGACCACCCGTGAAAGTTATTGACGCAGTTCAGTTAAAGCTGAACTGTGCTGCTAAGGGTCCCTGGTTCGAATCCGAGTTCGGGCATGGATATTTGTAAATGTATAGTGGGTTGGGTTGGTAGAGCAGCCCAAACCCCGCCCACTCAAAAATAAAGGCAAAATAAAAGAAAAAATAAAATATCACTCCAGCATGAACTTAAAACGGCCGATGTAAATAGGGACGGGGGTAAGTCTCTATTGGTCGGCGAGGTTGGCCTGTGGTGGAATGAATGCAATGGTAGATCCAAGCGAAAGTTGGAGACCCAACAAAAGAGGAAATGATCGAATTTACCCGAAAAAACACTACAATTCTTCGTGAGGTTGGGGAAACGGGTGTATAAGGCTCAACGGCTGGTGGCTAAGTATTCAAACTTCACAACTTATGGTGACGAAATTCAGGAGATGATTACAAAGGTCGCCAAAGAAATGACCACGAGCGGCGCTACACTGTGCCAGAAGTGCAAGGTTGCCATCAGCTCCTCTTTTTCAACAAGTCTGTGTAGTACAACACCAAAAATACTGACGGGACATCCTGTAAATGATAACTATTTCAATTTATGAAGTAAATCTGGGGATTATTACCGAAATAAGAACAGAGTTGATTTGTTTCATTTAAATTTGTATTCAGTGTTTGTTTTTCTTTTAAGATTTGTTTGTAAATGCGCAATTCTTCTTTAAATATTATCGCTTTGTAATTATTCGATTTATATAAGGTACTAGAAGTAAGAGACATGGCCAAATTT